AGTAAATTAGTGCAGTTAAAAAACCCAAAAATCGGGAGTTAGAATGCTCCAAGCTCAGCGGAAATCATTGTTACTTCGTCCCTTTTAAGAGATGATAAATTTGTCTTTGAGTAAGACGCTCACTCTTTTCACCAAATTTAAAGCGCAGTGTACCATAGGGTTTCAAGGAAACGGACTTCTAATCTGCAGATAGTGAAATTCTACCCAGAATGAAAATAACAACCTGCGTACTACTGTAACTGTTGAAAGGTGATAGCCTTCATACTTCCATAGGCCTTGAACATGGCAATTCCGGCTCTTCGGATGGCCACTGGAGTCCAATCACGCTGGAAGAACTCCCGCAATTGAGGTCTGCAGAAAATGGGGTAATTGGAGATTGCATTAAGTGGATACTATTCTCAAGCTTACGACACATAGCCAAATAGTATGATCTCCAACAGCTCGTTACGAAGGGACCATGTCTAAAATTAAAGGGATAAATACTTAAGGAGTGTGGACAAAAAGGTAATTAGTAAAAGCAGTTCAAATTACCGAAGAACTCCTAAGCCGTTCACGTGAATAAGTAGTCAGTTTTGTGTCTAATTCTAGGAGTGTGTTCTCCCATGCGCTCCTGAGTTGTTTTAAGCTCCACATTAACAGCTGGGGAGGGGAAAAGGGTAATGATTATCGAGTGACGTTACCTGCTTACAATGAAGAAGGGATGCTATGTGGAATGAAATGTTTCGCATGGGTAGGCAGCATTCACCAAGTGCACGCGAAGAAATCTATAGGTAAGGTGTAAAAACCAGAATAATTTGTCCCACCTTATTAAATGTTAAAAGACCTTGAGGCGTAACGTTGAAGTACCCGAAAGAGGCAAAATCTTGTGCCATAAAGCAGTCGTAAAACTAGGAACAATGTGAGTAAATCTATACAGTTTACTACCCTGCTATTAATAGGCAGTTTTAGAGACGCCAGTTCGTAGAATCCACAGCCATAGAACCGCACTGTATTGTCCTCAAAGTGAGCAACTAGAACAGAGGGCCTGGAAACCCCAACACAGAAGATGGGATCAACTTACTTGGAGTCAGGATCAAGCCACGGTTTAGATAGCTGCGACACCTCTTGGCGGTTCGAGAATAAATCACTAAGATGATGTGTATAGTAAAAAGTTACTCACTCTGTAAAGACGGAAAGCGATTCAAAGGGGGGAAAGATCGTCTGCTTTGTAGTGACGTTATGTTCACATGACACCCAGATTAAGTATCGGATCACAGCTGTTCCGAACTCCATGGAATGTAGAACCGTACCATCGAGGAGATTTAAGAACTGTAGACGTCCACATTCATAGGCGACAGATAGAACCTTCCCATCGGGTCGCCAGGCTAGGTAAGTCACGCCACCAGAATCTGGAGAGTGGACCTCCCAATTTATACCCATTTTGTACCTGCAATTAAGAGTTAGGCATCCATGTGCAACGTCTATTTAACAGTCTCGATAAATCGCAGTACGTGCTAAAGATCATAGAGGAAGAACTGTCCGCAAGTTACCCACAATAGAGCCAGATTTAATGCTCAATCCGAAAAATGAGCAATTACGTTAAAAGACGAGGTAGGGCCTACCGATGCAGAGAAACAATCCCGGTAGGCGACCCAATAGCGATGATGTCCATCTTGGGCGACCACGATGCTATGCTGACTTTGCCTTTTGCAATGGGCTTCTCTTCATAAAGCGTTGCTGTATACTCGGACGGCATTGCTTACAAAATCGTTGAACAAATCGAAAGGATAAGTAGAGGGATTGAGAACACCATTACAAAAAGAACGACACAAACGAACGTATATTTTTTCATCATTGAAAAGATCGTACAGAAGTGGCTAGTTTTTTGAGGGAAGGATATTTAGAAATAATTGGAGCAAGGAGAGCAAAGTATTTGGCATTTGTAGAAAACGTCTTAAAATACGCTGCAAGGAGACAATCCACTTTACCAGCTTTTTTGCGATTAAATACAAAAGGTCCATCTGTAAGCATACAGGATATGTGCTTGCAGGCACTATCAAAGCGATTTAGGATATCACCTAGATCGTCGGAAGCCCAATTAGCTGCCGTTAAAAATTTCATAATGAGAGTTCTTTGACGATTGAAATAGTAGTCACCTAGGGGCCACGGATGGATGGAAGTAAAATGAGCTCTTGTATGCCGTTGACCGTTGGGTTCCATCCAAGTTAGGTATAGAGCAACATTTCGTAAGATATCTGCAACCCAGAAAAAAAATATATGGCGAGTGTTTTTTATTTCCAGTACTTCCCTGTCAAGTTCTACATCGACTTTCCTTTTAAAAGTCTTGAGAGTGAACACCATTGACATAAATCCAGAAACGAGATTGCCACAGATATTCGATAGCGGGAGAATTCCATCGGGAGAGGCAAAATATGCGTTTTTCAAGTACCGTATATTAAAAGGTATTGATTTCAAAACCAAATATGTCAGACAAGCAGCGGCCGTTGCCTCGTCATTTGGGAGGACATAATCACTGGGAGGAGAAACAATGTTCACCTCAAGCATTTCACAGAACGCTAGCAACACTTTTTTAAGAGTCCCGGTGATTTAAACCAATTGAAAATCAAATGGTAAGAATCCAAACGAGTTTGAATCTTCCAAAGTGGATAACAATACTTTGATTTTTATGTGCAGAGCTCCATTGGCAGTTCCGCATATCAGTTGAAACTGTAACTGTTATTGCTTTACACATCCACAGCTTGAGATATGGAAGATTCCTGAGAAGAAAGCATGTGTTAAATAGGTTTTAGGGCATTAAAATTAGGTTATTTTAACTAGACGTAATGCATTATCCATCGTGCAACATGTCTGATGGGCTCCCAGTCTTTGGTAATCATCATGCTCTAGCGTGCGACGACCGACTTGAGATCCAAGCCAAAACCTGACCTCCTTCCCTTTACCTTAACTACAAGTGTTTAGGCCCACCCAATCCCTTTTACTGCCTAATGGAAAACCTCAGCACGTCACAATGACAGCACGATAATTCTGCTTGCATTACTATTCCTCGGATTTTGCAAGCGTCACATGCCATAAGTGTAGTGTCCCGAGGCTTTCCATAACGTGGAAGAAGGCATAAGTGAGGTTAAATACATTTATTCCGGAGACGACAGAGCAATTAGGAAATGAGCATGACCAGCGCGTGCAAGGACCAGACAAGTACTAAAGTGACCGCCGAACGGCAGGTAGCCACATAAATAAAGCATTAAAATAAGTGTTGCACCTAATATTTGATGCTTTGCTCATGGTATTCGTTTGGCCCTTGCAGGCATTAGCCGACCTCCGAACCAAGCCAAGGCTTTAGCCCTCCTCCTCTTTCGAAAATATACG